ATTAAAAAAATATATGTATGTGTTCAGAATTAGTGCTGTTACTGTTGGCATTATCGACACATGTAATCCATTTTTTTATTGTGTTTTAGGCAAAATGTCTGATTGTAGGTAAATGTTTCTTTCATGTTTGCCAAGTCAAAAAAAAAAAAAAAAAAACTTTTCTGTATGTCTGTCTGCCTTAATATTTGCATTTTGTCATTTAGAATTTTTACTGATCATTGTTATATTCATAAATAATGGAGTTAATTTTATTATGTTCTCTTGTTATTATGCCCGTGTATTTTGTAATGTTTGAAATGTTTTGAAATTACTGGAAGTTCAGTGTTTTCCCTTGCCAATGTTTATTTTCTTTGAATTTGATTAATCAGTTTATATTTTGGAAACAAAAAAAAAAAAAAAATATGCAAATATGTGAGAGTTATGTTTATTGGAACTCTTCCTGTTTATTATTATTATAATGGAAAAGTTTTAAAAAATGAAATTGTCAAAAAGTATTTTATCAACGTACTTTGAAATAAAGCCTTTGGTGAAGTGGTAGTTATTGTCTACCCTTCAGGAATAAGTACTGTTTTACAATAAATTGTTTTTATTGTTTTACCCTTCAGGAATAAGTATTGTTTTACAATAAATTGTTTTGGTTGGATGTGTCCCTTCCTAATTATGTCTCTAAAATTAATATTTTGTGTGGCATTTGTGAAGTTGTAAACTTTTCAGAGGATATCTAATTATTCAAGAATTAAGTTTACATTTGCCGTCTGTCTTTGCTGCATTTTTTGAAGCTGTAATTTTTCTTTTGCATTATAGAATGATCTTACACATAGTATAAGAAAGTAAAAATTAATAAAAATGCTATTATGGATATGAAGTGAGGGGGGGTGTCATTATTTTTCTGGTTTACATTTAGCACTTTGTAACTGTTTACTGTCTGTTGACTTCGAATTATGGAAATGCTGTTTTGTAAGTGGTTTCACACAAAGCTCAGCACATTTTACCAACCCACTGTTATATTGTTTTCTAAGCCGACTTTCTGAATTCCACAGATGAATTAAAGCAAGCCAAGTTTTATGTAATATATATGTTTGTAATCTTCTGCAGTGTATTAAAAATAGTATGGCAGGCTTGATTGTTGAAGTTAAAGACATCAAATAATGCTGTTTACAGCCATTCTTGTATATTTTGCATTTATGAAAATATTTATCTATATGAATTTGAAACTGATCGTCATAATGTAAATATTTGATTCTCATAATGTTGCATTAGTTTTAATGTATATGGATTTTAACACGCATGTAAATGAGTATGTTATTTATTCATCCATTCATTCATGTGTGTTATGTAAAATTTGTTGATGGGTGTTGTAATCATTTTAAAAATTTTCTGGTGTTTGTAAAACTGTTATTAAATTTATGTGTTGTATAATTACTTTTATATAGTTAATGAGTATTTTGAAAATATATGCTATCAAGAACTTAGCTGCACCTTGCTTGTGTCTTATGTATGTCATGTAACACATTGAAGTATAGTAAATGGCTATTCATTTGTGTATTTATATAATTCATAATGTAAATTATTTTTTCATCTTGATTTTCATAACATGGTCCTATCAAAGTATGTACTGATATGTCAGGTGGAATACTGTACTGATACCATATTCTGAGCAATTTGAAATGGTCTTGGTCAATTTTGTAATCATTACTATCTAAAGAAGTGCAGTAAATAATTTTTATTCTGAAGATTTCTTGTGTTAACCTATTTTGATGGGTCAGAAGCATTTTATAAGCTTAGAAAAATAGATGATAATTAGGTTGTTTACAAATAAATAGATCTTAACTTTTCATGTAAGAATTTGTGTATAGTGGTTATTAGATGTACTTTTCCTCGTATAACCAAATGCAGGAATTCTTGAAAACCCTATAGAGATGCTGCAAGATTCATCTGAGACTCATTTCGTTATCCTTTTTATCTAATTAAATAGAAGCTGTAGTTACATTGGGTGTGTTCCTTGAGGCTGTGCCACACTAGCATAATGAACAGAACAGCCGAGTGTTGCTAATTTTTCCTAGTTTGTTGATATTTGTAACAAGCACCTTATTGAGAGCAAACATCTCGAGTCATAATTAGCCAAATAGCCATTAAGAGCTGTGTCACATTTATTTCTGTTTTAAATTTTCATCTAACCACATATTACTGTTTAATGCTCATGCACATTGAGAATAAGCAGCCAGTTTTGTGTGGCTAAAATTACTAAACACGGTTGATTCAACTTGGGTTTCAGATTTGCCCATTGGGCCAGTCACATAGCTTTTTTTTTCCCACCTATCTGTTAACATGTATACTAGCCAGTTCCAGTTTCATAAAGTCCTCCACAGAGAAATTCATTTGCTTATACAGATACCTTTGATGTCATTTGTCATGTTTGGTTCAACATTTTTTCAGTGATACCTGTAGTTATTTGAATGAGATTTTTGTGCTAATTTCTTTAGTAGCTGAAATGCTCATTTTGTGACTCACTGTTGGATAGAGCCCCTTAGAAGTAAAATTCTGTTTTTGCGCTGGGTAAGCGCTCAATTCACATAAATTTTTGGGTACTTAACAGTATGCTGTTCTGTAAATTATTTCTGAAGGGGAGCTTGGGTATTGTATTGCAATTTTTTAGTTTGTCAATAGACCTGATATATTTAATAATATTGCATACCTAAAATCTCAAAATATAAAACTTTGCAGCATCAAAAGGGGTATAAAAATGTATTTGGTTTGCTTCTGGTGCTCAACATCTATTTTAATGAATTTACTTCCTTTCAGTTTTGAAATTAAAATATTAGCAAGAAAAAGTGAGGCTGTGTTGAGTTTTATATAATATGCATTTGTAATAGCATATAAAAAAAATAGTGAGGTTTTTTAAAAGTTTTGCAAATAATTTGACTTAAATGAAATTGAACATAAAAGAGGAAAAATTATTTGAGATATCAGATTAATCCATTTATATTGTAGATATGCACTTTTTAAGTTAAATTAACAATCCTAATTTGGCTTCTAAAAAGATGGATTGTGTTTTATTCCTTTTTAATTATGTGCTCCTAAAATTTTGCCTAGATGTATATATCTGGATGTTTTGCATCAGAAGCTAGCAGATTATTACGGTTTTAAAAAGTGACCTATTTTAAACAAGCTAGAGAAAAAGAATTAATGTAATATGTCTAAGAGTTGATTCAAGCATTTACACAAGCAGATTTTATATTAGTAAATAAGGAGGAACAATGGTGTGTAGACTGAACTGAGAGGTACAAGCCAGTAGTTTTGCCAGAGACTGCCTGTGCTATGAAGTGCTTCGTGGCTTATAAAAACTGATTTTTAAAAAGATGAGTCAGTATTCTTGTCACTGTCCTACCAAGAATATTTTTAGATGGGGACACTTGAGCGTTTGAATACTAAGTGCAATGCCAGATAAAATTGGTTTCAGGTCCTACACCAAATGTAAAAATTTCGCTGATAAAAGTCTAATTTTGAACATCCTTTAAATGAATTTCAGGTGTGTGTGCTGGACATCATACGTGAGTCTGGCAATGATACTACATTCACATGAGTCTGGCAATGACATCTCACGCACTTGAATCTGGCTATGACATCGCACTGCTACTCTTTAAGCTGTGCTGTGTTAAAGAGGTATATACTCAGATAATTGGAACTAAAACTAATTATTGTTATGTACCAATTCTCTCTCTACCAGAGTTACTACAGTATGCAATACGTAATTATCAGAATATTTCATGTTAATATTTTATGTAGTATATTGGAAAATTAATGCAGAAAACTATTCTTTTTGGTATACAGATTTTAAAACAATGCAAACTAATTTATTCCCTTATATCTTAAAATTCCGACTTTGTAACAAGATATGTTTTATGCTGTGCTGCTTTAGTAAGCTGTATGCATTAATGAAATATTTTTCTTTAATGCTTATACACATTTAGCATTATTTGATTCCTCCCCCATGAAGCAGAGCATGGGTGCATTTTATGACTTCATTCATGCTTTTTCAAAAATTCTCAAGATCTGTTTTAACAGGTTTATAAAATTAAAGCTTTGTCTTTTTTAGCCTATCTCTAGTTTGATTTTAATAATCTCATGAATGCTTTATTTGTCCTGTTGCCAAGTAATTCTCTTTTTACCATGCATTGGTATACATTGAATCATTTAAATATGGCAAGTTATTAATCAATTTTCTGTGAAGTGAATATGTATGTATTGCACCATTTGAATTTTTTTATTGAAAATTCCAAACTCTCTTAGGGTTAATTAACTAAATCATTATTTGCAATTTGTGTGTTCATGAATAAATTGTCAAGTATACATCAAGCTACTACTTTATTGAGGTTTTTTGGTAGAAGTGCATCACCTTTAGCACATTGCTGGTTTAATTTTTTCTGTTGTAATTGAGGTTTGTTTTTGTTTCAACCCCTTTAATTAAGGTAATTTTTTAATTATTTTGATTTTTTAAATCGTATTCAGCAGATTTGACTGTTTCCATTCGAATTAAGGAAATAATTGTCTTTTTAAGACATAACAGTGCTTTGCGTTTTTAAAAAATCAGTTTCTCTTATGCTGAATTTGTATCAGTATGAAAAAAAGTTTTCAGATTTTTTTTATTAAGTTGAACATTTCCCTTGATTTACAGTTCTGTTCATTTACTTTTAAAAAGGTAATTGATTCGTTTCACATTTTGCCAGAAACTTGTTGTGTAGTATTTCTGAAACAAGATTTTGGCAGTTGTAAGGGAAGGGGGAAATATTTTTTAAGCATGCTGTTATATTTTCCTACAGGTTTTTACTTCTTATTTTTTATCTTACATGAAGTCATTGGTAAAAGGCAAATGATTAAAGATTTTATATTAGCAAGTACTGCTTCGTCTATTTTTTGCTTTTATTGAAAATGCATAGACCTTTCTGCTTATACTATAGGTACTCTCAAAAATATTTATGTTGTACTCTTTGTTATTTCAGGTGAGAAAGAAAATGGAGAATCTGAAGAAAAGTACGAAGATGAAGATGAGGATGATGTTGTTCCTGATGATTATGATGAAGGAGAAGATGGAGAAGCTGAAGGTGATGAAGATGGTGCAGAGGATGAGGAGGAGGAAGATGATGAAGCTTAACTTATGTTTTAGTGCTTTGCTTTTTGGGGAGGGGGGTTGTTAATGACCAAATAATATTGGCATTTATTTGTTCTAAAGTGTGAATTTAAATTTTAAAGATCAGTGTTTTTTTAAGTGATTATTATCTCATAGTTATTTAATGTAAAGTCTTAGACATTGTGTCTCCCATCAGTGTTATAAATCATAGTAGTTTTTTCAATAAGAAATTAATAGGTGTATTAACTGCAAGTTAACGTTAGCTGTTGGTGTAAAATATGCACAATATTGTTTGAAGTTAACATCTCCCATGTCATCTCATCTATCAAGTATGCGCTGTTCATCATCTGTCATTTTTCAGATTGTATGTCCCAAGCAATGCAGCTGAGTGAAATGAGCATGGTTTTATATGTGAAGTTTAATCATAGTCTCATAAGACTATTCCCACTAGTGTGGTGTAATCAGTTTGTAAACATCAACCGATACACTTAAAATAGGTTTATCTTGACATAAATAACTGTATTAAAAATATTTGTTATAATGTTCATATATTCCTTGTTTGAAGAATAAGCAGTTCATAATCATTTTTTAAGACTTAATGTGGTTCTAGGTGTTTTTTTTTTTTTTTTTTTTTTTTTTTTTTTTCTCCCTTTATTTTTAAATTTTATACCATGTTTTTGTTCACTTGCACATACCATTTTCTTTCACTGTCAGTCATTCTTGTTACTGTATATACTGCTCTAAATTTCTTCCATTACTAGGTGTATCGGAAAAATATCAGCTGTGTTTGCTGTGTTTTGTGTATTTGGTTTCTAAACTATCAATAAAAGCTCTCTCATACATTGTGTCTGCATTATTTCTTTATTACTGAAATTTGTTAACTTGTGGTACGCTAACAAAATTCCAAATCAACATTAATGTATTAAAAGTTCATATTTCCATTGTTTGGTATTCAGCTGTCATGGAGAACATAATTAAAATAACTAACGAATCTGGCTAAGTGAAAATTTCTGAAGGATTTAATTTTACATAACTCCATTAAATCAATAACCTATTTTTTTGCCTTCCTGGTTTATTTGCTGAAAACATTTAGCTATTGGAGTTGTTCTTTTTGCTGCAGTTAAAATATATTAATACTTTTTTTAGTCATTACTGATGAATGAGTAACAAATGTTCCAGACATACCTTTAATACATTAAGTCCAATAATGTGCATCAGGTTGTTTGGGTCATCTGATACAGCTGGTAAATTCCAAAACCTTGTTTGAAAAGATGCAAGCAAAGTTATGGACTGACCATTCCACTGGCCTCTGAATTGGTATGAAACAGCTCTTTAACAATATATCTGCTACTGTAGCAATCTTGATTCATTTTATAGATAAAGATATATTTTTTAAGTACATATAAAAAGTTTCTTTCAAACAAAATATATCAATTTATGATAGCAGTGTTCCAGAATTAAAAGTTTGAATCATATAAATACAGTTTTTACTAAAGTTACTGCTTGGAAATGTGTGGAGAGTATAACTTCACACGAATCTTTTGGAAAAGTATTTAAACATTGATCATCCCCTCTCATCAGCAGTTATGAAATGCTAATGCAGTTTAGTGTGTTCCTTCGAGGAATAACACTGAGAGTTTTACGGCCACTATAACGTTAATCATTTGTCTCAGAAATTATAAATTTTGAAAAGGCTTCATTCATTAACAGTGCAAGTAAACAAAACAAATTGGTTAATTTTAAATTAATGCATTAAAAATTAACTGTGTATTTCAGTCCTCAAAACACATTTGCAAAATTGAACCTATAGTTTTTGTTGATTACAATTTTTATAATATTTTAAAGAATGTTTTTAAAATTGATCATATAAATTCGGGCAATCAAGTATGCCATATTATTGGACCCAGTGGCCTGCAATGCATTATTTATTATTCATGGCAAGACAGATTTTGATATATTCCGAAATTGCAATCACTACAAAACAAGGTTAGACTGTAAAGTGCATTTCCGTAGTTAGAGAGATGCTTATATTTTATACAGTGCAAAGTTTTCCTGCAGTTTTTTTTAAGTGCATGAAATTATGTATCAAGAGATCAACTGTAGCTGCTATATGAGAGAGAGTAATGAAACCTTAATTGCATAGATTAATGAGGTCCTATTATTGGTGATTAAATCCTTTTATAAGTATGCTTTTGTGGTGTGACAATAGCATACTTGCTCTGTATTCGAGATGTCCTTGGTCCTGGGAAGGGCATAACAAATATTTCATGTCTCTTGTTTCAAAATAGCCTAATGACTGCATCATTTGTATACAGTTTTAAGGACATATTTTGCTTTTATAGCATAGATCAGTTCAAACTCTACATCTCTTTTTTGGATTATTTTTTTTATATTGTTTAATGGTTATGATCAACTGCATGAGCTATCCAGTATGTGATAGACTGTGGAACCAGTTTTCCTGATTTGGGGTTGCCTTTAGAAGAATGTGCTCCGTTATCTTGTATGGGCCTTCTAATATTTTTGTCAAAAAACTATTGATTTTGTCTGCTTTTATTTTGCCAGAAGAATTTAGAGTTATGCTGTACAATAGTAAGAGATCAGGTAGCTAATACATATCAGGTTCATATAATTTATTGACTCAGATTTTATGCAACTTCAATAATTCCAGTAGTTGGCTACTTTTCATGTTGATTCTAATGACGGAATTGAAAAATTATTAAAAAGAATTTGTCCAAAAGCATAATTTAATATAAATGACTATGTTTGCTAGTTGATTAATCTCAAAATATTGAATTTATTAGAATTTTAAGCTAATCATCAGCAAATTTTTTCTGTGTTCACCTCTGATAGCACACAAATCTCTCATTTGGATTTTGTAACTAAACTGTTGATTGAGTCATGAAAACTGCTCTTTTGACAATGTCCTTTTTAGAGAACAGGATGTTTTTTGATTGCTTGGAGGTAACCCTCACATTATTGATGACGTTCATATCTGAGGAATAAGCTGGACAAACCATTTAACTGATATCTTGTTTCTAAATATTTTGATATCAGAGGCTTGATAATTGTCATCCATTAACCCTTCCCCTCAAGAAAGTGGGCCAACATATCCCTAAACCACCTTATGAGCAAGTCCCAAGACCTCATAAACAAACTGGTCATTTCCAGAACCTGCATCAAAGATGTGCACCATTTATTATGGTTCTTTCCCAAACTGTGGAAATGAGATCTTTAATGAGCAAGGAAAGGTAAATTTAAATTTGTTCTTTGATATTTCCATATCAAGGATCAGTCTATGTGTGGACTTTGTAAATAGTGTGTTTTCTTAATTCCAATGCCAGTCTGAAATTCTAAAATCAGCACAAATGACCTTAAGATGTAGCAGTTTCTTTTGGCCACCTTTGACCAGTCTGCGACCTGGGACTCACCGTTTTAAAAGTAGTCCGTGAACTAATGCTTTGAGGTATTGAAATCGTGGAAGCACCTTCATTCATGTTTTGCCTCCTGCTCCGGTAATTAACCAGGTAATCGCCACTTTTGCCTTTCACTTGAATGATTCCTTAAAATCCGAATTAATGAATATTATTCATTCTAAACGTACATGTTATGTACCTGAATTCTGAATCCTTCGCATCATTACGTTGTGTAATGTTCAAATTCCATGAGCTAACAGGGATCACAGAAAAGTTTCCTTTTCCTTCGCAAAAATTTAATTTTTAGGGGATTTGCCAGAGTTACCGCGACTTAAGAAAACTGTCGCGCAATGATTCGCCGATACTCGGTGGCCTCTGATTTGTAACATACATTTAGCACACTGGTTATCAATACTAAAGGATATTGGGGAAAAAAATAAGATGTGATACTTGGCACAAAAGCATTTGTTAACATGAATTATGTTTGGTAGTTATTCACAAAATACTGAAATTAAAACCACAATTATGGAAATTTGAAAATAGTGTAAAAATTAAGTGACCTCTTGTAGAAAATATTTTTTAATATAGTGTATTGTCACTTCGAATAGATATGCGTTCATATTAATTTCATTGACTATGAAAGTTTTGATCAACTCTGTGGAATTGCACGCACTTCTAAAAGGGCTTATTTCAAGCTGCCAGAGGGTCCAGGGAGGAAATCAGCGCCCTCAGGCATCCCAAAAATGCTCAGTCGGGTTCGAGTGGTCAATCTATTCGACTGACATCTGTTTGCAAGTTTTCTGACGCCACATATGCTCAATGAGGCCGAACATTGTCATTCCTTAGCAGAAACTCGGCCGACAGCACAGTCTAATTTGGGGTTCCAGTACCTCGTCCACATATCTCTGAGCAGCGGTTACAGAAATTTCTTGAAAGAAACGCAGCTCGTTGCTGCCATTTGTCATGATTCCTACCCGAACCATTAATCCGCGGTCGCGAAAACGGGATATTTCATGGACAAGGGAAGGCAAGTTGAATGTTCCTTCATCTCTCCAGATCAAAACACGTCTATCATTGTTCAGGCTATATCAATACCCGTCAGTAAACAAAACTCTGGCCCAGTGGACTTGACTCCATTGAACATGACTACGGCATCATTTTAAACGGGTCCCTCTGGAAGGTGCTTGGGACCCAAACCATTGCTTTCCTCGCGTACAGTCCAACCGACCTTGTTAAGCCTTCGTGCAGTTGTTGGTCTTGGCCGCCCTTGACCAGGCTGTCAACTGATCCAGTGTTTAAAAAGCGCCTTCAAATTCTTCATATGACACATTCAGGGATATTCAGATCTTGGTTGACCTTCACTTAAGTGATGACTTTGAAACTGATCACACAACTATTTAATTATTTACATAATGTACAAAGTTACAAGTTAGATGAACAAGTGGAACGCACTATAGGTCCGCTGCGTACATTCTTCAACTACCAACTAAACTAAATTGGCTGCTCTCACAAGAGGTGAGCTATATTAAACCGAACATTCCGGCCCCCATTGAAACAAGTGTCAATAATGCTATAAAAATTCACAAATTCAAATTTACACATACATATAAAATACACAATGAAATGCAATTTAACACAAATAATTTCAACACAATTATATTCAATAGCATATAATAAAAAATTAAAATGTCACACATAAAAATATTACACTTGCACTAAATGAATTATGTCCATCCATAATATGGAAATTTTATATTTGATAGTTGTCTGGTATGGGCAAAATACTTAATTTTGTGATAGGCTTTTTAAAAAGACCTACTCCCTCTTATCCAATTCGTTAACGTTACCTTTTTTAAACTGCCATTTCATTTGCTCATGAAGTTGCGATAAATAATCCCGTTGCCACCTTTTCCAAATATTTTTAGTCATTTTGGTGACTCTTTCCCATCTGAACAATCTGTTGTCAGACTTTTTTTATAATTTCTGGTTCTACAGGGCCTGTTATAGAACGACCAATTAAAAAATGTCCAGGAGTTAACGCATTAAAATCCCTTGCATCTGAAGAGAGGTGAAATTGGTCTGGAGTTTAATATTCCCACTATTTGTGTTACTGAAGTTAAAAAACGTTCTGTAGTTAATTTTGAATTCGCAACTTTTTTTAATGCGTTTTGAACGATTTAACCCCTGCCTCCCAAAGCCCACCAAAATGTGGAGCTCTGTAGGGAGTATAAATTTCCTTCTAACAGCAAATAGTCAGATGAATTTTGTTCTAGTACTGTGGCAAAATTAAACAGCTTGCTTAATTCTTTTCAAGGTCCCCGAAAAGTAGCATTATCGCTAAATATGGTTGAGCTTTCCCTCTCCTCGCGAAAAATCTCTTAGGGTAGGAATTAATGCTTCCAAATATAAGTCTGAGAAAATTTATAAGT